AGCGTTTTTGTCTCATATAGTTTGTCTTATATCATAGTGTTTATCTTATAGTGTTTATCTCCTATTGTTTATCTACCCTGTTCTATATTATATTGTAGATAATTCATTAAACTTGAACATGTTTATGAACTTTTGAACTGCACCTAAACTGAACCTGAACTTGACTTAAAAGTTCAATATTGAACCTGAACTGAATTTTTTTTAAAAAAAATTCAAGTTCAAATTCAGTTCAATTTTGAACTGAACTTGAACTTAGCTAAAAGTTCAGTTCAGTTCAGTTCATAGGAACACTAAATATTGATGTCACAGTAAAAAAGATTATTGGCTTTTAGCCAACAGAGTGCTCAATATACTTTTTCTCTTCGAACTTGGAAGTCTTGAAAAGTTGATCCATTAAAAGATGGCCGTCGTATAATAAATATGTCAAACAATGATGGATGATGTGAAAAGTGGATTACAAAACCTTGTATATCTTGAGAGAAATTAATGATGTTTTCTCGATATGCATACTGTCCTTCACGGAGATTATAAACTGATATAATAGGAAAAACCTGTGCAATTAGCATCTCTACACTATTAGTAAGGCCTTGGAGTTCTTGGGGTACATCTTCTAAATTAGATTTTTTGTAAGTTATTTATTTACTTGTTTATAATTTTTTAATAAATTCAATAATTTATATATACCTGGATTCATGTTATTTTCAGCTGAAAATTTCTTTAGAGCACCCTTTTCCATATAACATCGATGGCATTTACCTTGATAGAGAATAATAGACAGAAAACATTCATCGCATGTTGGGTATAGCTCATTTTTAATAGTTGTCATTTTTTTGTAAAAATTATTTAAAAGTTTTTTATCAGGCTCCGAAAGTTGGGATTGACAAGGTCTCATATTTTCTTTTCCTTTACTTGTAGATTCTCCATCAGCACTTGCCTTCAGCAGTTGTTCGTGATTGTGCTCTGTAAGCGTCTCTCTTTCTCTGATTACTTCAACATCTTTTCCTTTGCGTTTTCGATTACATTCACGTGCAAGACGTTCTTCTCGTTCTTCATTAGTTTCTGTATCCGCTTTCCTTTTCTTTTGGCTACGCCTATGTTCAATGCGTGCTTTTCTTTCTTCAGCAGTTTCCACATCTTTCTTTTTTTTCTATTGGTCATGCCAACGCTCAAGACGTATTTCTCTTTCTTCGGCAGTTTCTGTATTTTTTTTTTTCATTTTCTATCACGGTCACGTGCCAGTGGATCTTTATTTTTGATAATTT